AATTATTAAATAACGACAACGAAAAATAAAGTAAAAATTAAACAGTAATCTAATTAGATGTTTAGGAACATATTTCTCCAAAGAAAGTTGTCAATAAATCAAAGCTAAAATCGATTATTTCGTTTTTTCATTATTATATTGAATTTCTTTGAATTTATTCTCTTATTTCTTCAAATTCTTCAAATGTCGTCTTTTCAATAATATTCCAGAAAATCTGCAGAAAATCTTTGTGAATAATGAGAAAATAGAAACTAATAATTGAACAAGATTACTTATTTTTGATGATAAGATTAATTTTTATTTTCTCAACATGTTCCTGTTCTGTAGTTTATTGTAGAACTTTTTTTTACATTTTATGTCGTCGTTATTTAATAATAAAAATAAATAATTCTGAAAACGTATCCACCCCCAAAGTAGGAGTTTTGAACGTCGAATTCGCACTCAAACTCAGGATTTACAGATCTTTAAAAAGTTTAATATGTCTCAAATGAATCTGAAAGAAGTTTTCCACAACACTGCATACTCAGTTCAACTACCCTACATAGCCAGTCACTCCCTTTAAATGTAGTATTCTAATGTAGTGTATCCAGTTTCAGGAAATGAACGATGGTTTTTATCAAACCTCAAATAATATTTTGATCTGTAAAATGTTCTCCATCCATAAACCTTTTTGTAAACAGATCCATTTAAAGAATGTTTTTTTAAAGATTGATTTGAAATTTGATGTATCTTTTTTACAGATGAAATATCTAGAAATCTTCAAAAATTAATAATTTCATGGTTCATGGTTTTTAATATTTGAATATACTTGAATACATATTTTAGTTGTTGAGTAAGAAGGACAAGGTTTCACTGAGAGCAACATGCAAAACTTTGCTGAGACGGATTAATGAATTGGAGAATACCTTCAAGGGTTGGAGAATAGACAAAGCAGTGAGATTTACCAAACTAAAAAGATTAGCAGACGAGATAAGGATTATAAAAGGTAAGTTGGATTAATTTAACAATTTTCATGAAACTCACAATCATAGCTCATTACAATCAAAAGTTCAGGGGTAATGCTTTGTCGAAAAAAATTTTCTTTTAATTTCATTAGAAATTTTAACAGACTGCATAAAATTTGTTTAAGTTACGATGGATAAGTTAGATTTTTATAGAAATATGAAAATACAGGTAAAAGTATCAGGATGAAAAAATAAGAAATGATACACCGGAAAAAAAGTTGTGGCGCCCAAATGCCTTTTTTGTAGGGTTAAAGGGAGTGTTCGCGAAAATGAAAACTTTTATCTGTTGGGTCTATAAGGAGAAAATTGCTAAAAACTTTTTATACCGAACAATTTTATCTCAAACAAATCATCTATGATATTGAATCCTAAAGTCATGTATGTAGTTGATATTTCATTATATTCTTAATTTTGTGTTTTTTTTTCAATTAATATTTCCCTTACAACTTGTTTTCATGACTGGCGCATTTCTGCTAAATATGGAAAATGTCGTCTTTTTATCAAAATCCTCGAAACAGGAATGAATGTTTTCAAAAGTAGCTCTCGTATCATAAAAAGTAAGAAATATTATGAAATATTAACTAAATACAAATGCGTCGAAAAATACTCGATGATTATAGGTTACAACTTTCTCAATTTGCATGGAATCTACGTTCTTTGGTATGAGACGTTTTAACAATTTTCTCCTTATAGACGCAACAGATAGAAGTAAGATAAGAAGCGATCAAAAGTGATTATTTATCGCCGTAAGCCTATACCCCCTTTCTTTTGATCGATCTAACTTTTAAGATAAGTTTTTTTTTCAGAGTGGACCATTCCTGCTCTATCTTCTCCTTTATTTTGTTCAACATTTGAAACCCATTTGCAGCCTTTTTATGGTTGCAGTCAACTGCTCATGTACTTAATGGCAAAACATGAGGAACTGGAAACTATTGGTCTAGGATTTCTAGGAGAGGATCGTAGTATCTATTCATACAAGTATGATCAGAAGAGTACAGAGACTGGGAATATAATTGTGCTGACACTTTTTTCCAATGTCAATCTAAAAATTATAACTATTCATGACTTTAAGCAAACTGGAAATATATTTGATCGTCTACCCAGAAATCTCCCAAACCTAGAGATTCTAAACCTGAGATATTGGTATAAGTTGGTAGATAACGAAGTAATTGAGATACTGAGCAGATCCAAGCAAAATCTTAGAGTATTATCTTTAAATTGTTCCAGCATTACAGGGATTGGTTTAGAGGAAGGAGTAAACTCTCTTCCAAACCTAGAGAAACTGATACTAAAAGGATGTAAGAACCTAAAGGATGAAGGACTGAAAGAGATTCTTAAAATATCTGGTAGTAAACTCAGAGTTCTAGATCTATCTGATACTGATATAACAGGGATTGGTTTAGAGGAAGGAGACTACTGTCTTACAAGTCTAGAAACACTAAATCTGGCTAATTGTCAAGAATTGACTGATGGAGGACTAGTGAAGATACTGAGAATATCTGGAAGTAAACTCATAGTTCTTACTTTAGCTGATACTAAAATAACAGGGATGGGTTTAGAGAAAGAAGTAAAAGCTCTCCCTATGCTGGAGAATCTGAAACTGAGTTTTTGTTGCAATCTGACAAATGAAGGACTGGTGGAGATTCTGAGAATATCTGGGAATAAACTCAGAGTTCTGAATCTATTTGGTAATCGAATAACAGGGCTTGCTTTAGAGGAAACCTAGAGACATTGATACTGGATACTGGATAGTTCTTTGAGTCTGACAGATGGATTGCTGGTGGAAATTCTGAGGATATCTGGGAGTAATCTGAGAGTGCTTGATCTATCTTGTACTGATATAACAGGGATTGGGTTAGAGGAAGAAGTAAACTGCCTTCCAAACCTAGAGACACTTTCCCTAGTACTTTGTGAAAAATTGACAGATGGCGGACTGGTTGAGATTCTAAGAATATCTAGGAGAAAACTCAGAGTTCTAAATCTATCAAGCAGTACGATAACAGGGATTGGATTAGAGAAAGGAGTAAAATCTCTCCCAATGTTAGAGAACCTGGACCTTAGTTCGTTGACTGGTAGAGGACTGGCTGAGATTCTGAGTATATCTAGAAGTAAACTCAGATCGCTAAATATCAATAGAATTAGAATAAACCGAGTTTGTTTGGAGGCCGTAGTACAATCTCTCCCTATGTTGGAGAACCTGGACCTTAGACTGTGTGAAGACCTGGATGATTTCAGACTCCTGGAGATACTGAGAATATGTGGAAGCAAACTTCGAGTTCTCAATGTATCTGCAGGCGGTAGTATAACAGGGTTGGGTCTACAGAAAGCACGAAATTCTTATCCCATGCTGGATCTTAGATGGAATGGAGAGAAAATTATTTATTCTTAAGGTTTTTGGACTTTTAAAAATATCCACAGTAATCTGAGCAGTTCTATAAACTTCTAAATTACTTATTCTGAACATTTTTTTTCTCTACACAATGCCAATTTTGGACCCTGCGTATGATATATGGTAGAAACGAAGCAAACTCGAACCAAAAACTAGATAAAGTATCTAAAGAAATAGAGTTTAGAAATAATAGAAACAGTATTTATGTGATGCTCTATTAAAACAGTATTTATGTGATGCTCTATTAAAACAGTATTTATGTGATGCTCTATTAAAACAGTATTTATGTGATGCTCTATTAAAAAGTCCAAAACTTTAATAGTTCTAGAAAAACAAACGAAGCTATAATCGCCCATCCCTGTGCAAAATGTACACGAATCTGGAATATCTACTTCACGTGGATTTAACGGTTCTCTCAATATTCCAGAAAGCTGTGACTTTCGATCACAATTTGACTCATTAAACATAATTTGTTAGCCTTTTTTCTTAAATACTTTTTTGTTGGCATATTGCATTTTGAACGAAAATTTATAAAATAAACAAATCCGTAATGTAAATGATTATTGAATTAAAGACCAAAACAAGTTTGATTTCAAATAGAAAACCGAATGTTGCTCACTCTGGTTAGTCGGGTGTGACTTGTAATCTATTCTCCGTAAACATTAAACAATATCCACTTTTGTTTGTATTATTCTCCAGATTGATTTTAAAACATACGATGGGGAGAGCATGTTTTACAGAATATCAAATCAAATCCATTATTAGGCCACAAGTTTAAGCATACATATATTATTTTAATAGCTGACAATTATATATATATTGTGGCCGGGGAGCTACAATATAGCTTAGGCTGTTTTCACACGAGCTCTTCTGGTTCAGCAAAATGGTTGCTATATCGTTTGCACTAATGTCCGTTTGAACTAATGTAATTTTGCACTAAATTCAGCTGATCAGTAACACTTGTGGCCGCAGCGCCCGGCCCCCTAGCTTGTCCTAGCCGCGACGCTTGGCCCCCTAGCCCAGAAATTGTCTTAACCTAACCGTTAGTCCGAATGAACGTTAGTGCGAATGCACGTTAGTCCGATCAATCATTAGTGCTAACGATAAGATATTATTTAGTTCAGTATTTGACGAATGATGTTCATATAACATCAAACAAACTGAAACCCTTCTATTTAACTGTTCTCTTGATTGATTGTATTAAGTATAATTTACTGCAAAATGTAATTAATTATATCATTATGTGATTATCATTATAATTGTGATACTATTATATTACCATCAAACATTCGTTTATGATTTATAAATTAACGGTTTTTGCCATTCGTTAACGGACTCTTCCGTTAATTTTGGAAAACCTCTGTTTCCTTAACGAATCTTTGCCCATGGGTACTATCTTGGCACATACAAAGTTTGTACAGTATGATTAGGCCATAATCTTCTTACATCCTTTATCAGTAAAAATTGTACAGTCAAGCTGAATAGCAGGGCAGGTAGTTAATTTGTACCAGCCTCCCCAGGTCTAAGACCAATTTTATGTGCAAAAGTTTATTTTTTTCTTGAACTTTTTTATCTTTAATAAACTTGTGTTTGTCTCACATTATTGGAATAAATGCATGAGAATTAAAATTTTTATACATACATTGATGTAGGAAAATAGAATGGATTGGAACCAAGGAGAATATACAGGACAAGTACATAACTGGAGATTTAAATACATACACTGATGTAGGAAAATAGAGTGGATTGGAACCAAGGAGAATATACAAGACAAGTGCATAACTGGAGATTTAAATACATATACTGATGTAGGAAAATAGAATGGATTGGAACCAAGGAGAATATACAGGACAAGTACATAACTGGAGATTTAAATACATACACTGATGTAGGAAAATAGAATGGATTGGAACCAAGGAGAATATTAAGGACAAGTACATAACTGGAGATTTAAATACATATACTGATGTAGGAAAATAGAATGGATTGGAACCAAGAAGAATATACAGGACAAGTACANAAAATCTAATAAATCATATTCAGAGGCGCGTACTAACAACTGCTTTAACAATTAAGTTACACACTAAATATTTTTATTTTAGATAGATATTTTGTTTGTTGGGAAAATATCTTCGTTCTCTAACATTCTAAATATAATTGACAAGATTATTTGCATTTGTATGAAAAAATTGCCATTTAATATATCGTATAACTAACTGAATTGGAATAATATCGATATTGTATGAGTCGAGTATCTTCATTACAAAACTCTGTTCAGTTAAGATAAAGGCTAGAAACCAGATTATACATGAATGTTTTATAATTAGCCGACCATTATATTAAGGACAATAAAAATAACATAAAAACTGGATGCATATATATATGCCTGTAAAAACTATAAGATAAACCATAAAAATATTTAATTTTCCAAAAATCTTCTTTTATATAACTGCAGACAATTTTTATTCTTAGCAGTTTTTTTCTTGCTTGCTTTACCACTTGTCAATTTTTTCTTTTCACTTTTTTATTTCGACAATTGTTCATGTCCCCTCCTCCCCCCCCCCACGTACCCTACTTTTGGGAAATGGGGGGTACTTGACTCTTTTCCCTCCCCCTAGCTATAGTGGCCTGCAAACATGTGTGCTGTGTAACCCAGCAGTTGTTAAGTGGAATAGAATTCACAATCTATACTTTTAAACCTTCATCTCTGATTAACACGGAAAATATTCGTTTTTATTTAACTTGCAAAGTGCCAATTTCTGATAACTTTCGATCCATATTGTTTATGAAGCATAAATGCACACTTAATTATTAATATATGAAAAACGGGAATTTGTTTAGGGTAGGGGAGGGGGGAGGGCTCGAAGCGCCCATTAATATATATTTTATATATTTAAATACATTTCATTTTCTTTACTTATGTTCAAATGGACTGAAACCGGATTCCAAAAAGCTGACTTTAGTGCAATTGAACGTTAATTCGATCGGACATTAGTCCAATCGATATAGCCCGATTTATCTTGTTGTTCGGATGATACAGCACTAGTGCGCAGGTAAATAAAATTGCCGCGGCCAATGCATATCGTACATCTGATCACAAACCAGAGATTTCTAGAGTGACATTTCAACTGGTTACAGGATACGGGGTACATTATGCCACGTAGGCATGTGATACATGATACAGGATACATTTGCATTATAAAGGGCTATATAGGCATATTTTCAAGATTTTCTGAAACCTTGAGGAATTCTTTAAAGTTTTAGCTGTAATCATTTTATGTGTAGGGATTATTGGACTCGATTATGCGAACCTACTAATTTAATTTCTAATAGTTGATCATACATGTAGTACTAATAAATTGATAGCATAGCATACGAGAGGGTGGGGGGTTAATTTCGGTAATTTCCTAGTATACGATTTTTGGACCCCCCCCCGCCCCCCCTTATGGGCGCCACTGTGACTTGTCCTTACAGGATTGGACTATGGGGAAAAGACTTATTTTTTTATTTGTTATTTCCAAACTATTTAATATTTTGCCGTTATTTCAATTTTCCATAAATGATTTTATTTTTTTTATGATAAATTTATTTTTCAGTGAATCTGATTTAGCCAAGTATCACAGTTATGAAGACCTTGAACCTGAAGGACGAAGTTTAGAGAATAAATATCCAAACCTCGTCAAGCTCAGATCTATCGGGAAATCTGTGGAGGGACGTGAACTCTATGTTTTCCAGGTACCATCTTTAGCAGAGAGAAAAAATCAAACCTAAACATATCTTAGAGGGACTAAAATGTAATTATTTGATGACATTCTATCTGCTTCAAAACGAAACTTACTGTTGTCTGAGCAAGGATGAAGGACATATCCTTATTTTTTAAGCAATAAATTGATCATTAATAGTTGTTGTATTTTACAGAAAAGATGAAGGAAATTATCAGAATTCAACACTCTTTAGATAGAAATGCGACGTACAAAATGCACTAAGATGTGAAGACCAATGTTTACAAATTGTTAAAAAATTATTGGACAGCCATTGTTGTAAAAAATATTAGATGAACATTTTCGATCCGATCAATCTGCTGCACAGAAAATAACTTTAAACAGTTTTTTAATATTCTTTTGAAATAATAAATTTCGGGGTTTATATTTGTTTGTGATATTCCCTTATATGATTGTGAATGTGTGTGTGTGGGGGGGGGGAGGGTATTCTTTTAAAATATTTACAAGGCTTTAACTGCAAAATTTATTTATTTGTTAAAGGGACTGTCATTGTAATGTTATGTGACCCTCAAGATATCTGACTCACATTAGTACCTTACCATTAATAATTTTATTTATACTACTAATTTTTTTTTTTATGTTTTAGATTAAAGATGTATGTGTGATATTAAGCTGTTCTTTCAATATCAGTTTGTGTACTCTTGGGTTTTGAAATGGAGATTTCGGTTCATTGTGTTCTCCTGGTTCTAGTTTTAATACCATCTACCTTACAAGAAATACGACTCAGGTAAGTTTTAGCTTTTTCTGTTGAAAATAAAGGTAATTTCCAAGTGAACAATTTTTGGATCTCCCCCCCATCTGGCCCTCGCCCCCCTTCCACCATATATCAATTTTTTACATGGATCTCATATGTATCGTGTGGAAAATATTGGTCATGTGGCCGCAGCGCCCGGCCCCTTAGCCTGTCCTATCCGCGGCGCTCGGCCCAGCCGCATCGCTCGTCCCAGAAAGTGTCTAAACCTAACCTAACCCTAAAGTAATACTAAGCCAAATAAATAAGGTCTGTCCTAGAGAACACTTTTTGAACTCTTTCCCCCCTTCAATCAAATTTGTATATAACTTACTATTTCAACAACTGGGCCTAGTGCTGCAGCAAGGACTGGCTAGGTGCCTGAGCGCTGTGGCTAGGACTGGCTAGGGGCCTGGCGCTGCGACCACATGTCCAACTTTGACGATTGTGTCAATGTTCAAAATGGACTGTAACTTTGTTGTCTAATTATCAAGTGGTTTAATTTATGTATCATGCAATTTTCTGACTGTTTGGACGAACGGCTGAACTGACTTGTCAGGGGCGGAAATAAGGATTCTGTAGGGGGGGGGTAAATATTTTTAATTTGGCGCGCGAAGCGCGCCGAATTTTTTTTTACCCCCCCC